ATGCTGCAACCCTTTAGCACAGCTCCTCATGTTGCGATGACCCCCAACCATAAAGTTATTTTCACTGCTAATTTTGTTCCTGTTATGAGTCACAATGTAAAGACCTGTGTTTTCTGATGGTACTGGGGACAGGTTGAGAACCCCTGCTCTATAACCTCAGCCAGATGCCTCTTCGAGCTGTCCACATCGACCCTTTTGCTTCCCGTTTCTACATAAATTTGAAACCCTGTAGACCTGTACAAGCTGCAGTGGGAAGGCGCAGGAAGTCCCTGCTGGGGGCCTTCACCCCAGCTCCATGTTCCCAGAGCTGATGCGCTTCACGGAGGACAAGAGTCTAAAACAGCGTGAGATGATTTCTGATCGTTTAAATATAGGCAATGGATTTGCAAGTTTTTTAAACTATGAGGGGGGAGCTGTCTTCGGGCCAGATTTGGCCACCAGCTTTTCATCTGTGACTCTCGTCCACAATCTCTCCCTTCCTTGCATCTTCACGCTTTGCTACCGCCTCCTCTCTGTCCCCAGCTGCTCTCTGAGAGTTCCACAACCCACATAGCCTTCTGGCCATGGTCGCCTTGAGTGTTTGATTGACATCTCAAGGCCAACTCTTAACTCCCCTTTCCCAGAAAAATCACTTCTTCAGATTTTCTTAGGCAGATGGAACACCCTTCTCTTCCCTTCACTGGGATTCAGAGACCAGGAATAAACAGATGCCTACAGCATAATGGGCCCTGGACTTGTCAGCACGGGGTTGAAGAAATGTAGACCTCCTACTTCCAGAAAGAGAATGCCAGAGCAATGGGATAGACACTCAAGACTGTGTCTTCAGAGGCCTAAGGGAGGATCAACCCAGACATCACAGAACTCGGTAATTCATGTTCTCAACATTTGCTGAATTCCTATAGTGCTTTAAGCCCTGGGGTAAAAGGTACAATAAGGTACTGGAGAAATAATTTTGAAAAATATACATTTCGGCTCTCACACAACTCCTTAGGGAGATGGCAAAGAATAAGTACATTTACAGGTAATTTCAGTTGAGCACAAATGCCTTCCAAGCTGCTAAGCCAGAGTATACAGCTATTCACAGTAAAGAAGGCGAGCTGAGGGGTAGGTGGGGTCCGTGCAAGTTGCTGCACACCGTGGAATGACCCTGAACCTCACAAAGAGAAGTGGTCTGACCATTTCTGATGAACCACTGCCCGGGCAGTGGAGTCCAGATGATGAGCCTGTCTATGGGCAGAGCCTGTCTTTAGGGCAGAAAACCCAGCTCTGGGGCAGAAACACACTGAGCAGCATTGAGGATGGGAGGGAAAAGGTCTAGTAAGAAAAGGGCAGCTCACAAACAAAGGGTGTCTTTGTGGCTGATTAAGGAGGGCAGGACACAGCCAGGTGTGGGGAAAGGCGTCTTAGTTAGGGCTCCTAGTGCTACATCAGAACACCATGACCGTGAGAAACTTGGAAAAGAAAGGGTTTATTTCCTCTATTCCATCATCCAAGACAAACCAGGGAACAACTCAGGATGGGAGCCTGGAGGCAGGAGCTGATGCAGAGGCCACGGAAGGGGTGCTGCTTACTGGCTTGCTCCTCAGGGCTTGCTCAGCCTGCTTTTTATACACCCCCAAGACTACCTTCATGGTATCCCAGGGACAGACTCGTATGAACAGCCAGGTAGCTTTTGAGACGGATGCTGGGGCCAAACTGTGGCTAGGTGACAGTTTTTAACAAGTGACCAGAAAATTGGATATTCACACACATCGCCCATGAAATCAATTCAAATGTAAGACCTAAATATATACAACAAACACTCAGAAGAAAACATAAGGGCAGAGTCTTCACACTGGATTTAGGAACGATGTAAATATATACAACAAACACTCAGAAGAAAACATAAGGGCAGAGTCTTCACACTGGATTCGGGAACGATGTCTCAGATATGATGCCAAATGCTCAAGAAACAAAAGAGAAAATGGATAAACTGGACATCAAACTTAAACATTTATGCACATAAAAAGACATCTTCAAGAGAATAAAGAGGTACTTCCCAGCCGGGTGGAGTGGTACACACCTGTAGTCACAGGATTCAGGAGGCTGAGGTAGGAAGACTGCCAAGAGTTTAAGGCCAGTCTGGGCTAATTAAAACAACCCTGTATCACATTAAAAAAAGAAAGAAAAGGAAAGGAAAAGAGAAGACAGACCATAGAACATAGAACAGATATAATTTTTAAAGAAAGTGTATCTGAGAAGGATGAACACACCTAGAATACAGAAAATTACAACAAAACAAAAAAGCAAAAAACAAAGCAAACAAGCAAAAAACCAAAACCCAAACAAACAAAAAATTGATGGGAGATGTTATTCTGTATGTTTATCTTATTGATTGATGAATAGAACACTGCTGGGCCAATGGCCAATGAAGTAGGGAGATAAGTGGGACTAGGAGAGGAGGAGAAGTCTGGGAAAGGCGGGCGGGAACACGCCAGAGACAGCCATGTAGTGGAGGAAGGAGGTAGCAGGTCCAGACCCTTCTCTGGTAAGATAAGACCACGTGGAAATACTTCGATGAATAGAGAAGGGTTAATAATTAAGACAGAGCTATCCAATAAGAAGCTCTAGTCATCAGCCAACAGATTTATAACCAATATAGTGTCTGTGTGCTTATTTGGGGCTCAAGGGCCACGGGACCTGCCAGGCCAAGAACCGTCCATAACAAAAACCAAATTGACATAGACATTTCTCAGGACATGTCCCAATGGTCAACACTGACATTAAGAGACACTTGGTGTCACTAATCACTCAGAGCATGCAGATTGCAAGCACATACTAAGATGGCTGCTATTCAGAAAATGACAAGTGTTGGTGGAAAAGCTAGAACACTTTCTCGCTGCAATGAGAAGACAGCATTTTGGAAACAGTAGGGCTGTTCTTCAAAACCTGAAATAGAACTACCACGTGTGCTGGTTTGTTTTATGTGAACTTGATGCAAACTAAAGTCATTTGAGAGGAGGGAGCCTCATCTGAAAACAATGCCCTCATAAGATCAAGCTGTAGTCAACTCTGTAGGGCATTTTTTTAATTGGTGATTGATGGGGGAGGGCCCAGCCCATGGTGGGTGGGGCCATCCCTGGGCTGGATGTCCTGAGTTGGTTGTCTAAGAAAGCAGATTGAGCAAGCCATGAGGAGCAAGCCAGTAAGCAAGGCCCTCCATGGCCTCTGCATCAGCTCCTGCAAGGGCTTCCGTCCAGGTAAGACGAGGAAGACGTGTTCCCAGCAGCAGAGGCAGGGATTGCTCTGTCATGTGGCTCTCACAGCCCTGGGCAGAGCAAGCTCCTGAGAAGCTGCTTCCCCGTTGTTTTTAAGAACAGCGTTTTGCAAGCAGGCGATGGTGGAGGAGTTGAGCACAAGAAAGGCAGTGTGGTTTGCTGTGTCAAGCCTGGCCATGCCCAGCAGGGCTGGCAAGAAAGGTTGGAATCGCCTGGAGGGCGCTTGGTCCCACAGGTGTCCGCTTCTGTCCCATTTGTACCATTTCAGAATGTAGTGATTTTAGTAAGACCTTCTCACCCCTGCAACGGGCTGTGGGCACTTTGAAGTTTGAGAAGCGCTTCCCCATGAATTAACGAATTAGAGATTAGTCTCCACTCAAACATGCATGCTCACAGTTCAAGAAATCCCTATGGCAATCTGTCTTTCCTCTCCATACCTAACACATCCATCCAATGCACAGTGAGCCAGCAGCAGAGTAATTTGTGGGCCTTGCAAAAGAGCAGGGTGTCACACTATTGACCGGCGCGGTATTACAGAGCTACTCAAATAACACTGACAAGAGAGAAACTGACTGACTTAGACCGGATATCTAGTGAGAGGCCTAATCTAGAAACACAAGGGCATCCTTCAACAGAGAGTAATTTGAATATCGAGGATTTACACAAGCCCTTGGTGAAACAGAAGAGACTCACGATTATCATTGTAAAAATGACCCACTTTATGATCCCACTGAGGAACTTAAACACAGTCTCATCAAAAAGAAAACTGCAAAAGTTGCAACATTATGTCCAATCATTAATTATTCCAAGAAGAAGCACATTGTAAATTTACTATTTTCCTTGTACCATAAAACGTATTTTGCCATAAGTTGTAGTCTTGCTTTTATTTTATTTTATTTTTTAATTATTTCATTATTTTGCGTGTATGAGTATTTTGCCTTCATATATGCCTGTGGGCCATATGAGTGCAGGCCTGGCAGTTACATGTTGTGAGCTGCCATGTGAATGCTGGGGATTGAACCTGGGTCTCTGGAAGATCAGCAAGTACCATATGTAACCACTGAGCCATTGCTCCAACTGTAGTTCTGGTTTTAAAGTTGAGATACGACTGAGCTTTTTGTTAAAGTTTCCCATGCTATCTGGACCTTATTTTGAAAACAGCCACACAAAGTGGACTCTGTCTGGGCCAGTTTTCCTTCAATAATCCCAACTGAAAAGAATTCTAACCATTGTATGGTCCTTTTACCCTTGTGGGACCTATCATCATCACCATCATCATCACCACCAACAACATTATCATCACCACCATCATTACCATTACCATCATCATCATCACCATCATCATTATCATCAGTATCTCTGTCATCACCATCATCATCATCACCATCATCATCATCATTGCTGTTATTCTATGTTGGAAATGTGTATATTTACATATGAGGTATAAAGTGGCATTCTGATTTTTTTTTTTAAGTACAACATATAATGACTGAAGTCCATCAACTGAGTCATCCACCACCTCAGCCATTTGGCACTTCCCAGGATGCAAACCTATTTGGGACTTAGTGGTATCTACTGTGACCAGTGTGTGGTAACTGGTACCCACTCTCTCTACAGCTCAGTGAATTAGTCTTTTCAAGCCATGTGTCTGGGTGAACTGTGTCTGCCCATTGTGCTGCCACTGGAGTGGTTTAGTGGTGAGTGACAGCCACAGCTAGCCGTCATTCATTGAAAATTGATTACCTTGTCCACCATGAGGAAGTTCTCCAGTGTCTCCCCGTTTCCACAGGGGACATCCCCAACCTCTCTTACGGCTCTGGGCAGGATCTCTTGCACCTCTTGGGCAATCATTCCTGTACACAAAACACTCCAACAGTGTTAATGGGGGTGGCCCAGGGATTTCCTACATCAGAATGGACTGAAAAGGCCATGGGGACTCAGCTCTTGCTTTCATCTGCAACTGAGGCGAGAACGATTATAGAATTAAAAGTAGAACCCTCTCCCCCCACTCCCCCCACTCCTCCCCCTCCTCCTTACCCTCCCACTTTTTATTAAGACTCTGCCTAATGTTGGGAAAGATGAATAAGCATGTTTAAATCCCTACACATACAAGGAAGCAAGTCATTAGTTTGAGTCCTTTGTGTCCCTATGTGCTCCTCTTATTTGTAGGATGCCCCGGGCTGAGGAATAAGCATTACAGTGTGAATGTTCTGTTGCCAAGCTTAACCTGTCTGACACCCTTTCACTCCATCCCCAGACCCAGGGCTCCTCTTCATACGGTTGGTGTTGCTCTCTGCCCTTGAACCCTCGCCTCACAAGCAATATATTCAAAATCCTCTCCCAGGACTTGGGGTGCAGCATGGAGGTGGTAAGTAAAGGTGACCCACACATTCTCTAACCTTCCCTGTTCCAATGACTGTGGGCTTCACGGAGGATGTATTGGATCGGCGCGTGTCCAATGTCACAACACACAAGCTCATGATAGAGACAAGGAGGAGCTTCGTAGCTGAGAACAGGAAATCGAAGGGACTCTGTTTGTGTACCTGTTTGGTGGGCAGAGTTTATCCCCATGGCGGATGCAAATTCTGGTTTGTAGTCATATTCAACAATCCTCATCTGGGCTATTCTTCTCAGCTGTTCATTTGTGTCAACCTGATTTGATTAAAGCAGAGTAAAAGTCACCTGTCAAAGTATTTGTTATTCAAATCAACATCAAGCATGACTCTGAGAGTAGAGGGAGATTAACAGTGCAACTGATTATTGTTGGGAACCAGCATTCTGCTGACCCCGCCCCCTGATGATGGGCGGGATGCTCATGGCCATGTCTTCTCTACCTCATGACTAACCTGGCTGCTCAAGCTTTACCTGGCTGCCAGGGGACTCTTTACATAGTTACATATGCGCAAGTTTCCCTTTTAAAGCAAGCTCACCAAGCATGCCTCGCTCTTTGGCTCCTTCTCTCTCTCTGGCTCTCTTTCTCTCTCCCTTTTGCTCCTTCTTGCTCTCTTGCTCTCTCTCTTCTCTCTCTCTCCCCTGCTTTCGGTTGGCCACCAGCTACCCCCCTTTCTTTCCCCTTTCTCAATAAACTCCATGTGGGTGCTGAGTCTCCTGTTTGTGTTTCATAGGCAATAATTATAGCAAAAGAACAACAATTATGTTTTGTCGATGGAACCAGATTAGAAGAGGCTTCCTACCTTCTCCTCGGGGAAGCCAAGGCTTTAAGATCCACACTGGTAACTTCCATTCCCTAAAACATGGACTCAGAGCTTTGTGTCTAAATTATGAGGCCAACGTGCCTCCTACCCCATTCTCCCTGTCCCTTCTCAGAAAACTCTGAGGATTCTCACTTTGGAGAGCCTGTTTAGGGTTCCTAGGTGTTCTCTTCAATTGAGTCCAGAGGTTCGCTGTCTTGCTTCTACTTAGAAACTGAAAACGTAATGCTAGTTCAAGGACAACATTGAGGTAAGGATGGATCCCATATTCTTGGATTGTTTTGGTCATTTTGCTGGAGGAAGTTTCTCTGAGTGAGTTGCCCTCTTCTCCTTCCCAAGCTTCTCAGGGTTCAGTTCAGCATCCTTTTTCCCAGCTCTGTGTCTAATGATGTCCCCAACTGTCATTGCCAAGTCCTCAATAAACATTTTACTGGACTCCGGAAAACTGACATCAAGAAAGTAATGTTAATCTTCTCTAAAAAAAAAACTAAATGTTCAATCCAAAAGATTCCCCTGTAATTTGAAGAATTTTTCAATAAATTCACAAAACAGATTTATCTAACTTTAACTACATTAATCTGATTTAAAAAAAACAACAAATCGGTGACTTTTCTGTATCTTCCCTGATTTTTATTTTAGAATATTGCTGCACTATGAAATCAATGCTGCTTTGGCAATTAGAAATATATCACCTACGGACTTTTGGTAAAATGACAGACTAGAAGCTATCTTTCTCTGAGTAGATGATTGTAGTTGGGGAAGAAGGGGAGTCGGCCCAGCTGTACTGCCCAAGCAAGCTTCTCACCTCAGCGACCACTGACTGACAAACATGAGCCCCATTCTCTAGCGAACTTCCTCCAAGGTCTGACTTGACATCAGCCACCGCAACCACGGATTCCGCATGCTGGCCTGGGCCCTTTCCAAGTCAGCCTTCCACGTGTCTTCTAGCAAACACCTACAGCATCATCAGTGAGTCTTTCCCACTGAGATCAAAAGTGGACACCAGACCGCCTGCCTCCCTGCATCCATACTGTGTCTGCCACCCCACTGGTGCGTACTCCCAAAGCAGTGACTGGCACGGCGGCTGCCACTGCCCCAACCTTTTCCAGGGCGGCTGTCCCTAGGACAGCCAGGACCATCACATCAGGCCTCAGCATCGTTCATCCCCATGACTCAGCTTCACAGAGGTAAGGCTCCTGGGACCCCAGAGAGATTTGCAACCCTGACCAGGGTAAGCACAGGGTACTAATACAAACCAATAGGAGTCATGTAGAAAACGCAATTTCCCTCTCCTGCCTTCGCCAGCTGCAAAGTAGCAGTTCTGGGGAACCCAGCACTCTGCCAACCCAAACCAGGAAGAGAAAGCATGGCACCAAATCCGTTCTGCAAACCCTGCATTATCCTGATACCAAGACCAAACAAAGACCAAAGACAACGAAAGTACAGATCAGTTTCCTGCTGACAACAGATGCAAAGTTTCTCAACCAAATTCTTGCAAACTGAATCCAGGAACAAAGTCAGGTTACATACACATTATGACTAACTGGGCTCCACCTCAGCAAGGCTATTCAACATAAGCAAATCAATAAATGCAATACACAGAATTAATAGATGTAAGGACAGAAATCACAAATCCTCTCAATAGAGGCAGAAAAGATATTTGACACAATTCAATATGCCTTCTTGATAAGTGTCTTGGACAAATTGGGAATAAATTGAATATGCCTCAAAATAATAGTGGTTATATAAAACAAGCCTACAGCCAGTGTTATATAATAGGAGACCTGAGAACATTTCCTCTAAAATCTGGAAGGAGATAAAGGTTCCCACTCGCATTCAGTACAGTACTCAAAGTCACCATGTAAGAGACACTATAAGTGGGTTAAAACAGAAAGAAAATTAAAATTATCCTTATTCACAGATCACGTGATTCTACACCAAAAAGGCCCTACAGATTCCTCCTGAGAACTCTATCAGGTATATTGCAGAATGAAAAATTCAACAGAAAAATAAGTGCTTTTGCTTATACAAATAGTGAACTTGCTGAAAAGGAAATAAGAAAAATGATCCCATTTGCAATACCTATAACAATAATAATTAAAATAATGATAATGATAAAATGCTAGAAACAACCCTAACCAAGGATGTGAGGAGCCTCTTCAATGGAAGTTTTGTGATGGGAGATGCCATTATGTATATATGTTTCTCATACTGGTTAATAATAAAGCACTGTTGGCCAATAAGAAAGGAAGATAGGAGGGGCTAGGAGACAAGGAGGAAAGAGGAAGTAGTAAGCAAGAGTCAAGATGGAGAGACTGGGGAGACGAGACGCTGGCCCCTTTCCCCGGTAAGAAGACCACGTGGAAATACATAGAAATGGGTTAATAATTAAGACAGAGCTAGCCGATAAGAAACTAGTACCTGGCCAACAGAATTATATCAAATACAGAGTCTCGGTGTGTTAATTGTGGCTGGCGCAGCGGCGGGACAAGACCAGCGGTGGTAGGCGGAAAAACCGTACTTCTCACAGTTTTGTATCTCTGAGTAGAGATTGAAGAAGATAGTAGAAAATGGAAAGACTCCAGGGCCACAGGCTGGTAGAATTAATATTGTGAAAATCAACATTGTACTGAAAGCAATTTTCAGGTTCAATACCAATAAAAATTTCTACAACATTCTTCATAGAAATAGAAAAGAACCCTAAAGTTCATATGGAATCACAAAAGACCCCAGACAGCCAGGCAATCAGCTCCCTAAACATTTTAATATTTTAACCCACCACAGTGGGGATGAAGTTATGAGGTCCCCACACACATGGATTGACAAAGGTCCAGAAAGAGTGCAGTGGGATTGTACAAGCCTGTACTCCCTACATTTGCAAGGCAGAGCAGGTCCATCTCGGTGAGCTACACAGTGGAATTCTGCCTAAAACCAAACAACAAAAACATAAGGGACTAGCTCAGTAACCTCTTTCCTCTGTGTCTCTCCATCTTCCTATCATGTGCAGACAGTATTCCGCACACTTCCTTGGCATGCCTTTAACCGCAGCCCTCAACAGACAGTTAACCTATCAGTCCCTCCATCTTGGGATTCCTTGGAATAGCCTCTAGAATTATGAGCAATAAATTTCTATTGTGTATTCATTTCCCAGCGACATTTCACTATAGCGGCACAAAACGGTCTGTGATCCTTCTAGAAACTCTGGAAGGATGGCTCTTTCACTAAAAGTTTGGAAAACCTGAGTCCGAAAGAGGAAAATCTGAAGTTCACCCAATCCATGCCACCCCCGATGACTTTACCGCCATCGATCTCATGTCTGTAATGAGTGGCAAATGAGACAGGTAGAAGTTTTAGGAATATATCCATTTCACAAATACAGATAGAACACACATGCCAATATGAGACGATTTTAACATATAATATTAATAATATGCTTTTTTTTTGCAAGTAAATCTGCTGTTTACTTAGTTTTATACGGGTTAAAGAATGTTCCACACATGTGATCTTAGAAAAAGCTCATGACATATAAAATGCTCACACTCAAGCATCTCTAGATCTGGGTTGTAAACCCTGGATTAAAGTCCTGAGCTGATGCTGTAGGGTGCATCTCTAGCCTTCTAAGCATAGTCTACAATCCTCTTTATCCTCTCAGGCTGCTGGGAACAGAAGCAGGAGGGGGAAATTTCTCCTCTACAGTCTAGGGCAGGGAACACATTATGTACACCAAGAATGATTCCTAGAAGGATTTGAGAGGCTTCAGGATGTTTGTTATTCGAGACTATGTATTTTCTTCCATCGAGAGCAAATCGGGATGACTTTTGGTAAATGAAAATCTGTGTTGGCCTGGAGATAGCAGCCAGGACTGTGGAGGGCATTCTCAAATTGTGACACTCCACCGAGACTTCTGCTTGAAATGTCATAAGCCACTGGTGTGGCGAGATGCAAGGACGTGTCCGAGTTAGCGTGAGCTGAAATGCAGCCAGTGTATGTCTCTCTAAAGCTCAAACTTTATAGAGCCTTCTAGTCCTGAATTCCCGTCCAAGGAGGAGGTCACCACAGCCCTAAAGTGAGCTGCAGCTTTGCAAGCAGTGTGAAAGTCAGCAATTACCACCCTGGTGGCAATGCTCTCAGGGGTCAGTCCAAAAAGCCCAGTGCACATTTGCGCTGGGAAAGGGATTCAGTCTGGAAGAAAGGCCAAGGACAACAGATTAGATGCTCTGTGGGTTAACGGGAGACCAAATAAAGGAGGGGAAGTGAGCTTAAAACAAATTTCAACAGTCTTGTGAGAAGAAATATGAGTGGGACGGTGGGAAGTGGTGGGCACGGGGAAGGAACAGTGGATGCTGGGGAAGCCGGAAGCAGGAGTGGCCTGACCCCAGGCTCAGTCTTCATCCTGAGCTCCTTGGCCCACGGAGCTACCACAACTTTCCAGAATTCTGCACTCTTCTTCCAAGCAATTAGAAGATAAGACACTCCTGAGGGTCAGGCAAGGCCGCTTGCATTGGACAATTGAAGGCTCTGACTCTTATCTAAGTAGATCCCCAGGCCAGACTTTGATAGGCACTAGGCAACTGCTTGTCCTAAATGGAGCTAGGCATCAGATGTCCCCAGTAAGGTCCCCACTGGGGGGGGCTTTTCAAGTGATCCTCAGAGATCTTGCAGAGCCAGCATAAGGGACCCTGAAAGGAAGGAGCTGGAGAGGGAGGGTTGCCAAGGGGAGACAGGAAGGCACCGACCTGTGGGAAACAAGCTGCCACTTCCCACTGGCTGTGTTTGTGTTTGGTAAACCCCAGAGACTGGGACAGCTTTAGAGATGCCCCAGCAGTTCCCACCACCGTTATCTTCAAGCAACTTGTTATTTCAAACAAACGTGTGACAAATAAACGTGAGCTGGCCAGGAGGTTAATGCACACCTGCAGGCACATAAACACGCCCTGGCCATCAAGTCAGACTGAAGCCCCGGGCGCCTGGCTGGGGTGTCCGAGGAAGGGCTCTGGGCACAGTGCAGGCTCACCTCTTGGACGTTCACCTTCACCCGGCTGTCAGAGGGATGCATGATGGTTCCCATCACTTTCGCGTTGCCGCAGACAACCAGGGCTTCATCAGGTGCATCTGTGTTTATTCCTACGCGACCGTGACAGATGGCAGATTCTGGAACGTGGCCTCGCTGCCACAATGCATCACTGTCACCTTCGAACTGCCCGGGGTTGGAGGCCTGGAGAAACACAGCGGGCATTCTACAGTTAAAGTTACGGTGGCGGAATGGTTGATCATGAGTCTTCGGAGCAAAGAGAAACAGACTCTGCATGCCGTGGCTGAGACCATCCAATCTCTGTAACATTTCTCAGAGACTGAACTGCATGTTCAGTTACATGACATGGGCAACTTTAAAAGGCAGGGATGGGGAGCGGTAACTAAAAGTGGGGACTATCTTTTCAGACATAATAATTTAAATTCATGCTGGGCATTGGGGTCGCACACCTTTAACCCCAGCACTTGGGAGGCAGAAGCAGGTGGATCTCTGTGAGTTTGAGGCTAGCCTGGTTTACAGAGCCAGTTCCAGGGCAGCCAGGACTGTCACACAGAGAAGCCCTGTCTTGAAAAACCAAATAATAAAAAAGGAAAAACCAAATAGTAATAATTTAAATTCAGAACAAAAAAAAGTACATTATTTAATTCTCAAGGAAACAAAAATATCTTGTATTTAACTAGCCTTTTATAATGTCAAAACACCCATACTGGTGATTTCACAGGCAAGTGACAAACATCACAGACACAGAAGCTACACCTTGACTTTCCCCAAACACGGGTGGTACTGTAGAATAGTGGCAGCTACATTTGTGTATGATAACCCTTGCAGTGATTCTATGGTATAAGTACCGTTATGTTCATCTTATTGACCCTAGCACATTGAAAGGATAATAAATTGCCCAAGAGCACATAGATACTCTGTGCTTCATGTCCTCTGATTGCTAAGTAATGACTCTGACTTCCACCACCGGACCAAGAAGTAGCCAGTAGCATGTAGACGAACACATCATCATTCAGAAAAAGAAAATGGATTTTGTCATGAGGACTGTGCCGATTTGGGGACCCCTGTGTGAGGTGTTTGGAAACATTCATCAGGGAAGCCGGGAGGAAAGAGTAATCCAGTGGAAACTCTCCGGCAGAGGTCTTTGCTGGAAGGAAAGTCTTCGGAGCTGTGGCTGGCCCAAAAGTCCCACTTGGGTTGTGTTCCTCTACATGCGATTTTTGCCTCTGTAGCCAGCTGTAGAGATTCCGGATCCCTGACGCCTCAACAGGCAGAACTAACAGCACTAACACGGTGACTTCACTGTTGCCAATCTGCCGGGCCTTGCGTATCTTGGCACCATTTGTCCCTGAAGACAGCTCAAGGGCTCACATAGCAGTTTGCCCATGGACACATACCGGGAGACCTGGGGACCGGGGTGGGTGGTGAGGCACTGTTCACTAGACACTTTTTTCTGGTTATTTCTTGAATGTTCTGCCACCTGGAAGTGTTATACATACATACATAAATAAAAGAAGCCCCCAAGTTTAGCTCTTAGTTTGATTTCAACTGGAGAACTTTTGGGCAACTACAACCTCCTCCTCTGTTTCTACCAGTTTAAAACTCCAGCTTCTCAGAAGACCCAGCCACTGACGACACTTCACAGACAAAAGCGGTGGGAAGAATCAAACCAACTGCTTGAAACGTTATTTTGTTGTATAAACTGACTTGAACCAGAGCTTTTCTGTAGGATCCCTGGAACCCTTGGGTGTGAACCTGGAGTTGACTTTGACTTGGGTTCTTTTATGGGGAGCGATCAACAGAGAGGCCTGGGGATCACCGAAGCATGGGAAGTACCAAAGCATGGGGAGCACCCAGCATGGGGAGCACCAAAGCATGGGGAGCACCAAAGCATAGGGAGCACCGAGCATGGGGAGCACCCAGCATGGGGAGCACCCAGCATGGGAAGCATGCTTTTTCTCTGCTGAACATAATGAGCCACTTGGAGGAAACAACCCAGGACAGTGGCGGATTCTTGTTGGCTGCTGTCAGTGAACTTTGGGATGACTCTGGTCAAGCTGGGAACTGGATGCTAGAGGAGCAGATACAAGTAGATTCTTTTATATATACAACTACAACATTTACTTGTTTCACCAGACAAAACTAAGTCCCTAAAACGTGTTCAAATTTTCTCCAGAAGGAACACAGCTCTACAATGGACACTAGGAAGGGGTCACCATCTCGAGTGGGAAAAACGGTAAGATCTGTGCATTTCCTTCCCCTCCCTGGGACCGTGTCTTCGTGTGTCAAAGCAGACTGCACGTACGGCGCTCTCTCCACAGTGGCTGCTGAACACCAACCAAATGCCAGAATGGTTCGTTTGCTTTTCTAAAATACTTTTTGTCTCATGGTTTCATATGCTTAGGGAGGACTTGAACATTTCAGACTATGTTATGACACCAACTGGTTGTAGGACTCCGGGGCAACCATTTATCTTTGCACGCTAGTGTTATCTTTTGAAGAACAGTGATAAACCTATTTATTGGCTTTACCCATCTCCAAAGGTTATGATGGGAGTAAGTGAAATCTCGTGTGTGTGACAGTCTGCAAAACTGAGGGTGAGTTGACACAAATTTATCTTTAACATTTGACTGGATACTGCCATCACTGTAATCACAGGGCAACAAACATCCCTTCTGCAAGAACACAGCGCAAAGGGCGCCCCCTGCAGGTGCTCGGGATGGCAAAGGGAAATTGCTGACATTTCTTTGTTTTACCTTTGTTTATGACTCTGAACAGGGCCAAGGCTCCAATAGGAGAGCTTGGCTCTCAGGAGATCAATCTGTGCATCTTTTGAAACAGTTACTAAAACTGGGTCCAAAGATATTCTTCTGCAGGGCCATTCAAGTGTGGTACGCAGATTCATATCCATGTCCAGGAGCTTGTTAGAAATGCATGTTCTTGGACATCTCGGGCTATTAAAATAGAAGCTCTGGGGGTAGGCTTGGGTAGCTATGTCTGCACAAGCTCTCTGGGCAGGGTGTGTGTGTGTGTGTGTGTGTGTGTGTGTGTGTGTGTGTGTGTAAAGAGAGTTTGTGGTCAGAAATCCCCAGGATACCCTTTGCTAGCTCTGCCCCTCTCCGGTCACACAGACACTCTTGTCTATAGTGTTGATTATCCACTGCAGTGGAGTTGGCAGGGGAAAGCAGGGACCCTTGATGATGGAGCCATTTCTATCCTTCCCAGGACAAAACAGAAAGAATGTGTTTCTTTTCAAAAGGAGAAAATCCTGAAGCATCTTTGAAAGGCAGACAAAAGTAATTGTTGCTCCTGCTTGCTGTTCAACACCCCCAAGCCAGCTCCAATTAAGTATTTCCTAAAGGAAGCAGAACTGTAGGAAAGCCTGGTCGTTAACTCAGGGGACCTTGAAGGAACTCTGCCTGGGGAAGCTCCTAAAAGCCCAGGCCTGGGAAATACATGTGTTCATTGGAGAAAACCTTAACAGACACTAAATTGGTTCATTTACGCCACAGGCATTTAATGCATGTCTAAAGCTGCTACAGTTGACAAGCCAGGTAGACCATGCCTAACGATGACCACCATCCTCCCTCCAAGAAGAAGTTTGACAAATGCGGTACCCTGGACACTTCCAGAGGCCAGCATCGCAGGGGCAGTCCTCATACTGCCCCTTCTATCGGGCAGCAAAACGCTCGTCTCCATTTGAGAAACGGCTCTTACTTAGGCCAGCCACAAAATGAATTCTGCTTTTTAAAGAGCGGCTCCCACCTCCCTTAGCATAGCCAAGCACGCAACACATTTAATATTAAACTTTCCTTCTTGTCTTTTTTATTCTGGAGCTCACGCTGATAGAACCAGGCCAAGGCCTTAGAGGCCACGCTTGGCTCTTGGGTAAAATGCAGTGTCGACCCTTCTGTATAGACCACACAGAGATGGTCCCTTCCAGAGTGACGGTTGCAGCATTTCTAAAACTACCTGAATCAAATAATAATGCCACCTCCTCCGCCCCCTCCGCCCCCTCCGCCCCCCTCCGCCCCCTCCGCCTCCCTCTGCCCCCCCTCCACTCCTCTCCACCCCCCTCCGCCCCCTCCGCCCCTTCCCTCCCACTGGCGTTAGTTCCAGTGGACTGAGAAGTCTACACCTTCACACCTGTGTTTTGGGATGAGCGTGAGCTAGCAGCCATGAGATAGTTTCGATTTGGGGTATGAGGGTTTGTATTACTGTCACCATTGTTCTTCTCGTTATTTTTGGGGTAAGCTGGTGTCTCCTATAGCAGAGCTCTCTTTAAGCACAAATAATAGCTGGGAGGAAGCTACCGTCTCCAAGGTACAGTAAGTTTTTAAATTTTAAAAACTGAGAAGCCTACACCTAAGCAGTGCTGAGTACAACTCCGCGTGTTCCATATCCCGACTAAATGTGAGTTTCCACAACTTCCGAGCTCCCGAGCTCCCCGTGCGAGCTTGTCCGTGACCTTCGTGCTGTGTTGAGGAGGTGTCCGTTAACAGTGTCCAGTTAACAGAGCTGGGGTGAGCCTGGCTTCCTTCCTCTCCTGGCTTGCACAGTACTGAGGGCACAGCCAGCTGGGGAAGGAGAAACCTTGCCGCCAGGTAAATTATTCGGAGACCGCGGGTGACTAGCAGACTGTGAATCGAGTGCTAATCACAGGATGGTGCTATCGTTTCTTCTCACGTTAGAAACAGTAAGCAAACTGTTTTCTGGACTGGGATTCGGGTCAGACTTGGTAGCACAGCAATCCCGATAATTCCAGATGAGATGCCCAGGGTGGCTTTGACCCGAGGTGACGGGGTGGACAGGCATCTCTGTGATTGGCTGCCTGTTTTTGCCTCAAAAGAGCCCCGCTGGCCCATGGTTATGTCAAAAACAGCCTGTGTGTGAACAGCAAGCATTTTACTTCACTTCTGAAATTACTTCACCTCCAATAAATATCTTAGGGGTAACTGAAGGGTTTTTACCAGTAGGTAGCTTATTAGTTTTAGCTGACGACGAGAAGAATTACAGAGGACTCTTTGTTTCAGGACAGCTTCGAAGCAGACAAGGAGAAACACTACTCTCCTGATGTGTTCCCAGGGCCCTGGACTGGTAGCTGTCTGGGATCATGGGGATGCTCACAGTGAAGGATGCTTCCTGGTGGAGTCTCACCCACCCCCACCCCATGTCACTCTCGAAGGTCTGTGACCACACAGCCTGACCCGAGGCTGCCATGCCTATGGAACCTGTTGCCTCATGCCCCGGCATTCTTGGTGGCAGCCAGTCTGGACCCATGGCCGTAGCTGCAGCTGCTAGTGGCTTAATGTCCCTATGGCTGCCAAGACACCCATCCACGGCTGTAACCATTCAGCAAATGTGTTGAGTTCTTCCTGGGGGCGGCAATCACGCTGGGACACAGGGGGCCTTCCAGGTGCTACCCTCACTCACCAGGCCTGGGTGAGAGAGAGCTGGGCTGCCCGCAGGCACCATTATTTATGAGCTGAGTGATCCCGCATGCGTTAGCATCTCAGGCCCTCTGTCCCGACTACAGAGAATCCTCATAGAGTGGAAATGCATCATCCAAATACCGTGTAGATGTTTAACCAGCACCTCGAGCAGAGAGCCGGTATCAGGGGTTCCCAAGCACTCAGTACCACCAGGGCATTAGGGAGGGGCGGCCTGTGCCCATGCTGCCCTGTGCATTGTGAACTATTGCACGTGGCATCTCTGGTCTCTATGCCCCAGGTGTGCTGAATGACCCTGCAGGGACAAAGCAGCCCTTGGTCAAGGATCACTTTATAGACACTGATGTGGTTTCTGCGGCAGCAGCCATTGGGAAACACACACCTCAATTATGTCACCGACAGTTCGACCTCTTCCTGCAAGGGAGAAAAGCATCCGTGGCCCAGAAAACCAGAGGAATGTGCTTACCCGAACGATGATCCTTTCGGAGATGTGGGCAGCCAACAGGTAGAGCTGGTCTTGGTTAGCGGCGTACAATCCCACCACCAGCATGAAGTACCTAATTCGGAAACAGCAGACTGATGCGGGCGCATCCAAGAATAGAGATGCCATCTGTGTCCTTGAAGGGCACCCAGCGTTTCATTAACAACGGGCTGGACTACTTGCAGACTGCCTCCCCCCTCCCATGTCAGCCGCACCCCAGGGAAACGGAAGAGTAAGTGGCTGGCTTGCTACTATCCTGGGTGTATCTGGGAGCAGCATCCCTGGGGAGAGCTCCTAGGGCTGGGCTCAGCCCACCTATGTGGTCACCCTGGTGCATCTATAAAGCTCTGTTCACAGACACAGGACAGAGCCACACGGCCCCTGCCTCTGCAACCATGTAAGTCGTATGTCCTGAGCCTTAAAGGAGGGACTTAGCAGATATGCCAATCATACTGGTCCCTTCCCTGCCCTAGCCACCCTCCTTAAGTATCTTCCTCACATCAGTGAGGCCGCCCTGGGATATGACGACTACTTGAGGGTCAAAACAAAAGCTCTCTGTGAAGCGTGTCTCACCGGTTAAGAACGCTTGTTCTTAGAGAGGACCCAGATCCAGTCCCCAGCACCCACACAGTGGTTTACACCCATCATAACTACAGCTCCAGGGACGTTGGCACCCTCTTCTGATCTCCATGGGCAGCAGGCATGCATGTGGTACACATCTTCACATGCAGGAAAGGCACTCATACACATAAAATAAATTTTGGGGGAGAAGGTTTTTCAGGCCATGCCCGCCTTGCCTATTACAGTGTTTCACCCTACTGAAAAGAAGCAAGGAGAAGCCAGGGTACACACATCCCGGCTTAGCGGTGGATCTCAGGTCGGGGACTGGGCGACTTTCTCTTCTGCTGGAAGAATGAAGTCTTCCTGGCAGGCACTGGGGGCTCTGAGGGCTGGGGAGGGGATTATCCTGAACATGGTGGTTCCCGGGGCAGGGATGCTAACTCCTGAGCCTCTCCAGACCCCTCACAGAGGCACTCTGGTCTTTCCAGTTTCCGGACAAGAATTCTCCCCTTGAACTGAATTAAATCAATACTAGTAATGATTGCTTCCACCGCTGCTGTGGAGCCCGGCCAAGGACTGACTCATAAGGCACCACGTATTGGGCTAAGCAGTTAGTCACCCCATTGCTTAAGATTCCCCCAAAGTGGACCGGAGAAGGTATTGTTCTCACACCCATCTTACAGATTAGGAAATGAATGTAAGGGTGAGACCAGTAGCATTCAGGGTGGCCACAGGCAGAAAGTAATTTCACACGGGTTAAATTAAACACCCGAGGCCCCTAATCTAGCAATTATCAGTGTCTGTCCTGAGACCAGCGGCTCTCCAGTTGGAGCCCAGAGGGTTTGTGAAGCTACAGCTGGCTCAGCCCACTTGCCAACACCTGAGTGGGCAGGCCCTGGTGAGGCCTGAGGACTTGTATCTCCAAACACGCCCAGGCAGCAGCCAGGCAGGCGAGCCTCGGAGCCAGGTACACATCATTAAGGAGCTTTTCATCTTCTTTTCCTTTTGATTTCCCCCTTTCTTTGCCTTTTGATTTTGGAGACACAAGGTCTCGCTGCACAGCCCAGGTTAGACTTGAACTCAAGATCCCCATGCCTCTGCCTCCCGTGTGCTGGGATTGTAGGTTTTTTTCTCTTCCTTAAAAAAAAGGGGGAGGAGGGGGAGTTTCAGATCCAGCACACAGGTTTGGTAAGTGTAGTCAGTCCTCAACCCAAGGGCAATGAGCAGAACGTGTATCACCCATCCAGAGAACCATGGCGGGAGTAGACTGGGCGGGGGGGGGGGGGGAGAAGAGAGAGACACAAAGGTGTCTGGGAAAATGACATAGTTAATAAAGCAAGTCGGAGGGGATCGGGAAGCAAGCGGCCGGGTGGCTCAGCGCATCGGAGGGGAGGGGCCACGAAGGCCGCTTCCGGGCTGGGCGGGGCGGGGTCTGGCCACTCTTGTCACGGTGACCCAGGTACCTCTGGTCAGGGTTCGGCCTCCCCTTCTTTCTCATGTTGTTCGCTGTGGTTTCACCGAAGTGCAATCGTCCCAGCGTTACTTTGGTGACCTGGTCAGTCAGGAGGTCAACTCTAAAGCAAACAACAGAAGTGTCAAGAGAATGTAGGACAGCGCCCGGGAGCGCGTGTAGTCTCCTGAGCCCCTCCGTGTGTGTGTGTGTGTGTGTGTGTGTGTGTGTGTGTGTGTGTGTGTGTGTGTGTGTGTGTGTGTGTCCGCTGTGATCTGCAAAGGCGGCATGCATAACTCCAGGGGTTGGAGTGTCAACCAAGGAAGGTCACAGAATGGCTCCTTGCTAACAAGGTTTCGGCCCTGAGCTTAACATGTCCAGCCCGGTTTCTGTTGCCGCCACAGTTGGGGGGGGGGGGGGGGGGGGATAACTCTCATGTGTGTTCACTGTTGGCTGTAGCTCCCGCTCCTCACAATCGATTTCTTTAGGTTCTTCCAGAACTCTGGCTTCTCCTTCAAGTAGGGGACCTCCTACAGCCTAGCAACAGGAGGCCGCATCCTTCAAAGAAAAGCTCTGCCCCCCCCCCCCATCACTTGCCCGGTCACATGCCTGGGCTCCACAGCGGTTTGCATGAGTGGCTGTCCAGGCTGTTGAAGCACCCTGCCCCAAATGGGCTCAACTGCAGTTAGCATAAACTATCTAACTGCAACCTGGCCAAGTGAGCTGGGAACAGATGACAGATGCTGCCTCGAGCCATTGGAGAGAGCAGACTGTAACTTGTTACATCATTACCGCTGTGGATACTAGCACCGTGGGTGCAAGCTTTCACACCGGCATCTGTCAAGGTAACTGTAAACTACATGGGGAAATGAACTGTATCCATGCATAGACAGGAAACCTTGAGATTAATGCAACCAAGAATTGTGCTAATCTAAATTAAAAATTAAAATATCTAGACTGGAGAGATGGCGCAGGGATTAGGAGCCTGCTCTTCCAGACATCTAGAATTCAATTCCCAGAAACCATCTATAGTGATATCTGGTGCCCTCTTCTGACCTTCAGGGATACATGCAGGCATTGCATACATAATAAATAAATAAGCCTTTTTTGAAAATTAAAATATCTATCTCAAGGAATCAAATTGTCATTAAGTTCATCAGTTATCAAAGCTTCTAAGAAAGATGACTTTTTAATGGACCTTTTCATAAAGAGCTTTTGCAAGGATCATAAAGCTTTATTTTTGTGGATAAACATGTGTTTATAATACTAGCACCCTATTACTAATTTACATCTACTACGGACTTTGTTGTAAATAGGAAAAATAAATAACACTGGTGGTCTTCCCCAAATTTTCTCCAAGACACTCAGAAAAGAAATTCTTACTTAACAGGATCAAAAGTCTGTTTGGTTCTATCTGCTTGGGACTGTTCGATAGCAATCACTTGATTGGTGGCTTCTACCTGCATGGAAAGACAAAAAGTGAATCGATTAATATGTTTACTAATAGAAAATGCTGTTCCGATACTTAGAACATTCTCTAGGGTACCAGGCTAGGCTTCAGGGAGTGGAGAGGAGTCTGAATTCTGAAAAAGACATGTTAGAATAGCAATGGGTACCATCTATCAGCGGTGTGCCACTGATAATAAAAGGGAGACATACCTGCAGAGTTAAATGATGAAATACAGAGTGAGCTATCGAAAGGCCAAAATATCAGAAGCAAAATGAATAAAAATAAAAATAAACTAAACAAGAGCAAGACAACTCAAAGGATCCATCCATATATTCATCCATCCATGCATTCATCCATCCATCCATCTGTCCATCCATCCATCCATCCATTCATTATTTAATGAGCCCCTACTATACTCCAGGCATGACTCAACATTACAGATACAAAGCAGCCAATATTCTTACTACCACCCTTTTTTCTAAACAATGATGAATAAAATTACAAACAGACAAGGTTAATTCACTCAGATGCACATACAGAAATACAGTTAATTTCATTAATATGTACAATTAATATATTGGTAAGTACAACTTTTAAAGTGAATAAAATTAACAAAACTCACTAGTCCTGGTGTCTCAGGTGCGCAGGAAGCTGAGACTGGCAGACCATGTGGTTCACACTTGCCCGGGCAGTAAGGAAATTTAAGAACAGCTTGGGCAACTTAATGAAAGCACAGCTCAGAGTAAAAGAGAAGTCTGGGATGGAGTTCCATAATAGAGTGCTTGCACAAGGCCATTGACTTGATCCCTGTTAACACACATACATGTGAGTGCATATACACACACATACACAGACACACGTGAATGTATACACACACACACATACACACATGAGTGCATATACACACACATAATGTGAGTGCATACACACACATACACACAAATGTATACACACATACACACGTGAGTGCATACACACACACATACAGACACACAGGAGTGCATACACACACATACACACGTGAGTGCATACACACACATACACAGACACATGTGAGTGCATACACACACATACACAGACACACATGAGTGCATACACACACAGACACACGTGAGTACATACATACACGCACATATATGTGAGTGCATACACACATGTGAGTGCATACACACACGTGAGTGCACACACACACATACACATGTGTGTATACATACATACACACACACACACACACCTGTTCTGACTGAGCTTGAATTCTAATATGAAGGAACAATGACTTGGCATGTAAGCAATACATGACATAGTGTTTCTTCTACAGCTGCTGCACACCCTATTTCATGAACACTACCAGTGCAATGTTCTGACACACAACACATGGGCGCTCACACTGGAACAGTCTTTCTAGAAAGTAAATAGGCAACTGACATCAAATTCCTTCATGGGATTTCTCCTCCAGCATATGTGGAGATACACAGATGTTCAGTGAAGTTTTGCTAAGAACTCAAAAGGCAGAAAAGTGAAATGTCCAATAATAGTATATGCTGTATACTATGTTATATACATATGATGTTATATACATATATAGTATAATAATTTCCCTTAATATTATGCTTCCTTAGAAAAGAAAACTGCCGGCTGTGTCGACAGCATCTCATTAGGTCTGTGCTACCACAGACTTTCATATTGCCATGTTAACAGGAAAACATTCATCAAAATGAGAGCAAAGTTAGTCCAGCAACTGCTGGACCTCAACTAGGAAGAGTCCTCCTCTCCACACATTTCTATTATGGACCAACATTTTCACAGCACACACTATTCCCATACTCATAAAAATATGTCTGGTGCTTGTGGCTATTTTGCCTGGTGTCTGCATTCAGTTTTTTCCTGCTGATTTACTTTAAGAGGTTAGTGGATACAGCATCCAGCTACATTTCAGAGGACAACACACCCAAGGTCTGGCTCACCATTAGGGTGAGATGGGTCTGTAATGGACACTGCCTCTCCTAAGCGGGTGGATAGGAGACAATAGTTGAATGTGCTTTTGGCTACTCTCAAACCGTACTACGTGCATATTAGAAGAAATACAGTTGAACTGTTGATGAGTGCCAGAACTGAGGGGTCATACTCAGACTGACCAAGTTACAGATGTGTGACCCAAACAAATGACCACTATTATCTTCAAGTCACTGACGTTTGAGATAGGGATTATGTGGTGTGGACAAAGGGACCCTGCCATTCCTATCCTAGATGAAGTATGTAACACTGTTTATCCTGTTCTACACTACAGAAAGGGGGCACTGACTAAATGCAGATTCTTTAGCTTTCGTAGTTAGAGAATTCTTTGGGAACTGGGTTAAGACTTAATGCACTCCCTGTAGTCATACACCAGCATCAAAACTAAAATGGTTGGCAGCCAACGCACCAAGACGAGGAAACAACTTATACACTGGAAACTAGAAGCCATGTTCTGAGGCGATGTGGTACCAAGGTTAGGGTTCACATCTGAGGAAATCTGAGGGAGTGGCGGGTTGTACTTCCTGTGTCTCAGACCTTTATTCACCATGCTGTAGGAAGCACAAGCCACCTCACTGAGAAGTCCACACAGAGGAGAGCTGACGCCTGCCAGCCCTAGTCCCATTTAGACACCAGGTCACAGGAAGCCAGAATATGACCGGCACATCCCAGAAATAGCACAGTGGCCTTCTCTGCCCCTGACCATGGGGACAGCGTCTGTGGTCTCAATAAATTACTGCTGCTATTTTTCAGTCACTGATGTCTGAGGTTAGGATTATGGAGGAATATAGTGAGAACGTTTAAGAAATGCTGATTAAAAGCAAACTGAATTAATACAGGACCTACCTTAAGTCCAAAAGCTTTCAAGTAAAACATTTCTATGGGCTTTAGTCCCATTTGGGTTTTCACAAACTTCGGACTTCCCCAGACTTGGATGTGGATGGTTATCTGGAAATGGTTCTTCTTCTGACAAACAAAAGCCTCATCTACTGGCGAGAAACTGAAGCCTTTGTCCGCCACAACTTGATAGCCTACATCAGGCCTGAAAACAGAGGGGTCAATGGAGTAAGCATCCCATTGCTCGAAGCTCGCTATGCCAACCGCCCTTTGCTACCTTTAATCAACCCACTCCCTGCATTTCTACTGCAGAGATGAAAACGACATTGGAACACACTGGCCGGTTTTCTCTTCTCACAAGGAAGTAGTACGGGTTTTGCCAAACGGGACCATCGTTTCCGGGACTTCTTGATGCTTTCTAAACTTTTAATCTGACTCCACACCACACACGAGAAAAGAGGAAGCTAGAGGCTCGGCCATCACCACCTCGCTCACAATTATCTAATCTCCTCCCTTCAAAAGACACTTCTCAATTTCATGGGGACCTTAGCCACTTGGCTGGAGAACGTTCGGCCCACGGATTGTCCTATGGAAAAATAAGGCTGCTCAGAACGGCTAGGGACAACTCTAAACCAAATTAAGCAGACACAGTCGTCGTACTGATTGGAAACATTTTTCTTCCCTAGAACATTCTCCTTTCCCTTTGGTCCTTCCTGAAAACCACCAAAAGATTTCTTCTGCAGAAAAGAAGCCAATGGCTAGCCAGAAGTTTTGCTTTACTTAATATTTCCAGTAGTGATGATCTGTGTATAGCATGGTTAATAAACATATTCCAAGTGTTAATAAAAGGCTGGGGAGAGATGGCTCAGCAGCCAAGAGTGTGTACTGCCCTTCCAGTGGCTCTGAGTTGGGTTCCTGGCTCCCACTTCGGGCAGCTCACACCCACCTGGACCTCCAGCTCCAAGGGAGTCCCACCCTGCTGCCCTCCACAGACATCTGCACTCACATGCACACACTCCCATGCAGACACCAAATTAACAAAGTCAATCTTTTCAAAAATATTAATAAAATGGGCTCATTGGGTGCTAACATCATTAACTGGACACAAAAATGTAAAAGCTGCAAACTTCCTTGGTGAGCTTCTCCTGTACATGTTGCTGATGTGGAACATGGCTCCTAAAGAGGATCTTTTTGTTCATGGAAACAGTTCCTCCTCAGAGCCAGGAGTGAGAGGGCAGGGGTATCCACTGGTCTCTTGTGAGGTGACCTGACTCCTGAGGTCCCAGAGGGTGACTGCTGTAATCACAAAAGCACAGAGCTTCGAAATTTTGCTCTAATTCCCAAACCAGAATCTGTTAACAGGTCTCCTGGGAAAGGAATGTCCACATTCTCTTCGAGTAGACTACCTGCCAATGGACCCTGTCCCTACATCATTGATTACCTTCAAGTAGCCAATTGAAGGCCTGGCAATCTCTGTTCACCAGCAGCAAGGGAAAACCATTGGACAAAGAACTTGAGGAAGATCGGGTACCTTCTACTGTCTAGGAACTTGACATCGACTCTGGTTTCCACAGTCAGTCTGCCAACATGCCAACATGTTTCTTAAATTTTTGGGTCAGACCCCCACATAGGGGCAAAATTTTGGTGACAAAAAAAAAATCGGTAACAACAAAAAGTTTGCAGCTACAGGGTGAATAAAATCAGATGTGCAATGAATCCGTATTATTGCTCCTGGCTGTGTTTGCTTATGCCATGTCGTCTTGTATGATGTCACTGCACCCTTAGTTCAGAACACACATGTACATGTTGTAATATACACATCATCGTACCACACCAGGCCAGTGATGGCTGTCTGAAACACAGCTCACATTCCAAACAATTATATGTTATGGGGTGTTGTGTTTTTACTGTCCACACAAACTTTTTTGTTCTAATAGAAAGAAAAAGGCTTGACTGCAGAAAACAAAGACCTTTTAATATTTTCTAATCATAATTACTCAGTAGGTAAGGATCAAATTAGTATATATATATATATATATATATATATATATATATATATATATATACTTGGACTAGATTCTATTTGAATATTTGATTTAAAGAATTGCTATTTGAATTGCCAACTTGAGTTTCACTTTTATAAAACAGTAATTTAAATGAATTTTGGCTTAGGGTTTGGATACAATTGCCAACAGTTTCTGAAATTGCCTTAAATACACCTTTCATAAATTTATACAGTATACTTATGTGAATCAGCATTCTTGCCATTAAAAATAATAAAATCGAAACATCTAAAACACTGAAGGTATTCCATGTCTTACAACATTAATATGAGCCAAGATTCAATTCTTTATGTAAAAATTAGCACATACACCCTGTCTTGTTGGTATGCAAATCTGTTTTTCTTTTTTAAATGGTGAAATTAAATTGTTTTTCAAATATTTTGTGTACCTATCTTACATGCCTTCCCTCCCGGGGTTGTAGAAAAACTGCTCAGGAGAAAGCGCTGTGAGTGGGAAATACTTAGGAAGCCCAAGTCTAAAGACCAGATGGCTAAAGCTACAGTAACTTAGGATGGGCAATAGTAACTGCTGTGGTGAAAATGGAAGACTTTTACAAGGTTTCATAGCTCACTGCCAAAAACTCTGAAAAGAGAGGGCTTACAGCAGCATCCACCCGAAGAGCCTAACAGCCGTAAGCAGGGAGAAGGAAACTGAATTACGCTGGACTAAAAATCCATCTCTTCAATGCAGAAAGGTAACTCTTTTGACATAAAAAAAAAAAAAAAAATTACACACGAAGCCAACTGAATTTGCTTTGCTGGCTCTCTTGTGTAGTTCATGCTTGGAACACTCAGGAAAGGGCAGGTTAGTAAATGTTAATCCCTGACTTCATTGCTTTGAGGTAATCTAGGGAGACAACATTTTCGCAACAGAGTAAACATATTTACCTATAAACAAGTAAATGATTTTCTGTCTCAGTGGCTTGAATAGTCAAATCAAGAGAACCTGAATAATCATCTCAGTGAATGTTGCTTTTGTTCTTGTGTTTGTTTGGAAAAAGCAAATGATGGCTACTTATTCTAAATAAGTCTCCTCTGTACCTTCCTATTGATTCCCTCTCGGTCTCCTGTTTTTGCCCTCCAAGATCAGTGGAGCACAGACAGGCTGTTGAAATAGACCTCGTGTGTGTGTGTGTGTGTGTGTGTGTGTGTGTGTGTGTGTGAGAGAGAGAGAGAGAGAGAGAGAGAGAGAGACTTGTGTCTGTGTGTGTATGCTGTGTGTGTGTGTGTGTGTCTGACTGTGTGTGTCTGTGTATGAGTGTGTGTCATGTATGTGCCTGAGTGCAGCGTGTGTGTATGTGAGTGTGTGTCTGTATTCTCTGTGTGAGTGTGTGTGAGAGACTGTGTCTTGTGTGCATGCTGTGTGTGTCTGTGTATGAGTGTGTGCCATGTGAGCATCTGAGTGTGTGTCTGTATGTGTCTGTGTGAGTGTGTGTGTCCGTGACTGTGTGTGTGTCTTGTGTGTATCTGTGTGTGCCTGAGTACAGTGTGTCTGTATGCGTCTGTCTGAGTGTGTGTGTATGTGAATGTGTGTGTGTCTGTATGTGTCTGTGTGTGGGGGGGGGGGTCTGTCCTTGAGTGCAGGCTCTGGAGTACCAGCTCAAATGGAGGACAAGGACACTAACTTTCAGGATTTGGTTCCCTCCTACCATCTTGCGGGACCCAGGGATGGAACCCGGGACTGCTCTAGAGTGCTTCTTCCTACTAAGCCACTAAGCCACATGGAAACGTTTCTAAAGTCTTCTGTAAGAGAGAGAGAACACTCACCTTTTAAACACTGGCCAATGCAGATGCGTGGAGACAGGAAGGTTTCTACTAAAGCACACGCCTGTCTGTGACAGTCTCATACTTCAGACAGAACACGCCATGTCCCAAGGATAATCAAGGAAGGCTGGCTCAGAACGAGACCTAGAAGCTGCCCTTGGTCTCCAATTGCACACAGAGCTCAGGCACAGTCCTGATATTTCAGTGAGGTCAGCTTCCTTTCACTATCTGCTAAGCACAACTGCCCAGATCTTTCTGAATCCTTGGGCTTAACTTCGAGAAAAACATTTATTTATTCCTGTAGCCTACCCAGAATAAGGGTCCCAGAGATAAGCTCTGCTCTATTTGAATTTGGAAAATGCCAGAAAGGCCCTCAAGTACGTTGTCTAGTATTTCTCATCTCATATTTATTATTGAACGTGTGCTCTTGAGTCACAGCGTGCTGACTTTGAACATGACAACACCAATTCCAGGCACAGGTGTGAGGAGTAGTCTATTGGCAACTGGTTTAATGTGCCCCCAAGTATTCTGTGGTATTTATAAATTTACTGCAAGGTTGGGGTTAGTTAGTTCTTTCAGGTGTTCCCTTTTGTTTCTTATTTGATATTTTAACATTTGTTTCAGATGCACATGTGGAGGTCAGAGGTCAACTTGTAGGACTCAGGTTTCTCTTCCTACCATGTAGGTTCCAGGGATCAAACTCGGGTCGACAAACTTGACAGCAAGCATCCTTCCCTGCTAGGCCATCTGGCCAGCCCCCAGCTTTGCCTTTTAACTGGGCCTGTTATCCTAGGAAGAGTTCTTCCCTCTCCATTTGGTGGGGAAGAGCTGGAATTGCAAGCCTAGGTGCTTGGAAGTCAGGTGCCTTTGCCCCAACGGTTATTTGAAGCGTAAGGGGTAGAACAGACACTTTTTGATCAGGGGTGGCTCAAATACGTGGATTAATCCTAAGACTTATCACTGCTCCCACGCCTGACACTGAATGCCAGTCCACCCAAGGCATCGCCAAGACCACTTACAGTTTTTCATAATGACCGTTTAATAAGCTATGCCAAGGGACACTTTGATATGGCTGCCACTTCAGAGCAGGAGAGTACTGGCCCACGGGCGTCCCATTATGTCCCTCTCTGTCATGGTCCTGCACGTCGATGCTGTGAGTCCTACTTGTCACTGCAAGAGCAAACAAACAGACAGGTGAGTTAGAGTATTCCTACCCGGCTGTTCACAGGCAGCTGCATGGGTCTAGGGAGGCGGCTGTGTGACTAGAGGGGCTGCTGAGTGCTAGGCGGCAAGAGGCATGTTGCTGAGCCAGAGCCGGGAGAAAGGCGCTTGCAGGCCAGCGAGCTCTTAGGAAGGTCACTGGACATCTGTGGGACCCTACTTCCTACATAGCTCGTCACTTCCTGTATTTCTGGCCCTAACGAAGTCTATGTCCAGCCTCAGGCCGGTAGACCCCCAGGTCCTGTCTAGACAATAATAGCATTAACTGCTTGCATCCAGGGTGGCCATGTGCCCAATCCAATGCAGGCACAGGAGATCTCAGCACTTTGAGTAATGCAGTGACCATGATGTTCTCTATTTCCCACAAGGTTTGAGCCCCCGAGGCACATTGTCAAGAGCAACTGGTTCCATTTGGGAAGAGGAGAGAAAGCCCATCTGGGGATGAAGCCAGCACTGAGCTGGTGGGGATAATAGTGTTTGACCTTGGTCCTGATGTGACTTGAGTTCAGGGTTCAATCCCAAACTCTGTGTCAAAGGAGCCGACAGACGTGGTTGGTTCTATGTTTGTTTGGGGGTTTGGTAGTGGTGGGAGGGGATTTCCTTGTGGATTTTTTTTTTAAGGCAATGTAATGACGTTGGCTTCTGGCTTTACTGATTTCAGTCAACACCCTACTTTGGCAGAGGTGTTTGTGGCATCAGGATTGGGCTCCCAAGGGGCCCAGTGCACACAGGGGAAACATGAAGACTCTTTGAACTGGTGGAGGAAAACTAGATGTCTGCCTGTAGAGGAAGGGAACTAGATTCTCATTTCTCACCTCCAGTGGAGAAATAGTCACAGATTAGGACTTCCTGAACAGGACTCTAGCAGCTCAGAATGAGGCTAACATGGAGTAAAGTGGGACCTGTTGGGGCTAAAAGGCTTCTGGGTAGCAAATGGAACAATCTAGGTGAAGAGATAGCCCACAGAACAGAAGGACATCTTTACTAAATACACATCTGACAGAGAATTAGTACCCTGAACTCACACAGAACTCAAGAAACCAATCGAGAAAAGTAAGGACCCAGTGAGTGACAGGAGGTGCGAGGGCCAATCAAAGCCAAGGATGTGTAAAGAGGCTGGGAATCAATGGGGGCCTCAGCTACTTTTCAAAGAGAAGTCACTCACGTCAGGCAGCTCCTAACCATCTGTAACTCCAGTTCCAGGGGACCTGACACCCTCTTCTGGGCCCTGTGGGCTCCTGCACTCATGGACATATACCCACACACAGATGCACACACCTAGACACAATTAAAACACACACACACACACACCTTAAACAGAGGTAAATTGTATGAACAGACACAGTGATCCAAGAAGCCATGCTTTATTAAGTGAAAATCCCAGTACTGGGGGTGGGCTACTTTGCTGTTGGCCAAGGAGGCCCCTGAGATCACCAAAATATTATGTGCAATTTTAATGGCTACTGGTTACCCACCAAAGGGGTTAAGACCCGTTCCTAAAGATACCACATTCTCTGGTTCCAGGACACAGCGAAATCAATCAGAACCAGGCTGGAAACTTCCTCTCTGCTGACTAGCCCACCAAGTACTGGAAGATGCTATTCTGCCTACCAGGGAAGGATTGACTTCAACAGTCCTTAATGTGGACCCTGAAAGCAACCCCCTCAACCAGCCCGGCAAGTGTACCCTTGTACAACAGTGCCACATCGGTTACGGGAGTAAACAACCACTTTCTGCTTGGATCTGAGGCCTGTTCCACAGGAGGGAATTCACTCCTGGTATTATAAACCTCGTCAAAAGCCTACTGTTGGGAAGCGCATAGGCCCTGTGACTGCAGGGATGCATATATAAATAGTCACAGTGATGAGAAAACGTGACTGACAGCGACTGCTCAGCTGTAAATAAGATACATAAATCCCCTCCTCTAAGGCTCAGAGACCACCACAGAAGAGAGGAAAGGAAGAATGTAAAGGCCAGAGGAGAGGATGGAATATTGTAGATCCTGTGTTCTGGGCAGGACATGGCTCTCTTGAGCTCATAGCAACTGTGCTTGTCTTAACAAGACTGGGGCATCAGTATCCTGTCACAGAGTGGGATGCAGCTCACAAAAACCTATATGCACTGAGTGATTGATAGAAGAGGGTGACACATTTTCTTCAGTGTTGTAGCCATGGATGATGGGTGGATGGATGGAAGGATGATGGATGGATGGATGATGGGTGGATGGATGGATGGATGATGGGTGGATGATGGGTGGACGGATGGATGATGGATGGATGATGGATGGATGATGGGTGGGTGGATGGATGGATGATGGGTGGATGGATGGATGGATGGATGATGGGTGGATGGATGGATGGATGATGGGTGGATGGATGGATGGATGATGGGTGGATGGATAGATGGATGATGGGTGGATGGATGGATGGATGATGGATGGATGGATGATGGGTGGATGGATAGATGGATGATGGGTAGATGGATGGATGATGGGTGGATGGATGGATGGATGATGGATGGATGATGGGTAGGTGGATGGATGTCTGGTGCGATTCTAACGTTAGCATCCTCAGGGATGACCACATGTGGAACTTGACTGAGATGGTGACATCATTATCCACAAAAGCAAACAGTGAAGCCACATACACATGTGCCCATGCCACAGCTGATGCCAATTGTTTCTGGAAGAGTCCTCTCCCACCACAGGGTAATTTAAATCAAAGGCAGCAACCCCAGCTGGCAGGAAGCAACAGGTACCTCTTTTCAGGGGGTCTATCGAGAGAGTTTGGGGACAGGAAAAAGAGGGGACCCTGGAGGAAATCCTGGGTTTCTTACAAAACTGACTCCTGGAGTCATACTATGGACTTAAACCCTGAATTTGGGGCCCTGTTCACACAGCATCCATTTGAATGTTTACCGTAGCAACTGGAATTGGCCTGGAGTATCACCCCTTTTCCTAAAAATTCTAACAGTTTCCCTTCAGATTCCAAAAGACCAAGCTATTCCCAAATCCATCCCTTTAAGCCCCAAATGGATGCATGCTGCTTGTTATATAAGATAAATAACTGACCACTCTAGGCATCAGGTGGTTTTTTGTTTTGTTTTGTTTTGTTTTTAAGTATATGTGTGTGGTGTGCACGTGTGTACCCATATCCACACATATGCAGATGCATGCATTGTATGTGTACATGTGGAGATCTGAAGTTCGCCTGAGGGGTCTCCCTAATTCCTTTCATGCTTGCATCGTGAACACCAAGTGCTTTAACTACTGGGCCATCTCCCCCGCCTAAAGTAGTTTAATGAAATACTTTGGAAATAATTTTAAAAACTCTAGAGCTCTACTAGGAAGGATCCAATTTGATGTGAGTGATAGGAAAGGCCAACTCCCCCCACAGCATCACAATGGCCCCCCACGAGCCTCTGTCTTCCTCCACCTGGGAGCATGTAAGAACCACAGGCTCGAGTCCCAGCTCAGATTCACCGAGCTAAAGGTGCGCTTTACCAAGATCCCAGGTTTAGCCTGTGCACAATCAAGTTACAAAGGGCCATGGACAACAAGGAAATGGGTGGCCAGTAGGCTCTTGAAAGCTCTCCAGGTACCACTTCCCCAGGCTCGGAGCCTGCATCGTCTGAGATGCGCTGCTCCTGAAATAGAAGGACTAGCAGTTTACCTGCATGGGAGAGACAGACAGACAGAGCAGCAGCTGTCCTTGGGGGCACCTGTGTGACTGACTTGCGTGAAAGACACTTTAAGAGGGTGCAATACATTCCCAGAGCCCATTGCTGCTCTTCTACGGGGGGAGGGGACAGAGCGGGGTGGGCGGCTGAGAGAGACACACAGCAGAGGTGTTCACGCCTGCCTTTGTCACAAAGCCACTCTTGCTCACTTGGACTGAAGGGGTGGGCCCGTGGGTGGCAGTCCCCACACTCCACTTGCATCTGCTCGTGCTTTCTCTTCTTTGTGAGAGGCAAGGAGGCTCTAAAGTCAAGGAAACGAGAGGTCGGTTAGCACCTTGGGTGCCCCATGAAAACAAACTGAGTTTCCCAGGTCCTTGCTCTCTGGTTTCCTTAGTCTAATCCCAATTCTTCAATGGTTTTTTTTTGGGCCCTACTATTCTGAGATTTAATCTTCCTATATCCAACCAATCTAAAATCCACCTGCCTGGAAGGTAAACTGGCAATACTTTCAAAGCAGAGAGGACTCAGACAGAACATTCAGCTGTGTCCTTTCCACCTGGCTTTTCAGAGGAGGACTAGAGGCCAGAAAGGAGGAGCAAAGGAAAGATAACTGACAGTTACTGAGGTCTAACTCATTCTCAGACTGCCTGAGCCCCTCTGCTGGAGGCAGCGTAAGAAAACAGTGTGTGTTGCATGCCTTTAATCCCAGCAGAGAGGCAGGCAGAGGCCAGCCTGATCTACAGAGTGAGTTCCAGGACAGGCTCCAAAACTACAGAGAAAGCCTGTCCCAAAAGAAAAAAAAAAAAAAAAAAAAAAAAAACCCACAGAGACAGCTGACCTGAGCAAGTGGGAACTCATGGACCCCAGTCTGACAGCTGGGGAACCTGCATAGGACCAAAACGGACCCTGTGAATGTGGGTGTCAGCCAGGAGGCCTGGGCAGTCCATGGGGCCCGCTGACTTTGGAACCTGGTGCATGAAAGGACTTCTGGAGCACATGGGGATGGAGGGATACTCCCTTAGCCTAGAGTCACAGGGGAGGGCGGGCCTAGGCCCTGCCCCAAATCACTTGACAGCTTTTGATGATCCCTCGTGGAAGGCCTCACCTTCCCTGGGGAGTGGATGGGAGAGGGTCGGGGGGAGCATGGGAGGATGGAAGGGAGAGGGAACTGGGATTGATATGTAAAATAGGATGGTTTATAATAAAACATTTAAAAAAGAAAACAAGAAAGGAAGGAGGCAGTGCTTCGTCTCGCCACCTAGCCTTGTTCTGCATATTCCTAACAGTTTAATCTTTGTTGGATGAGGGCCTTCAGTGGAAGGGATTTCTAAGGAAGACTGTCTAAATGAAGCAGCACATCAGGGCCCCCCAGTGTCCCTGTGCGTCTCCACACTGCCACCTACTGGACAGGCTGCCGCCGTCCCTCCTGGGCACTCCAGCTGTGGATGCTGAGATGGTTCCTAACTAAATAACTCATCCTTTACCCGGGAGGGTGGCACAGAGGCTGCTGATGGTAAGGGCAGCTCATGCCCAGATGGAACGGTCCGGTTTGGTGGCGGGAGCTGGCGGGGTGCGTGGAGTCCAGGTAGTCGTTGTGAAAGCTGCTGTGGGTTTGGCTGGACATGCTCTGGGGTGGGTGCTCGGGCAGCAGTCCGGGTGAGGTGCTGGAATGGAGGAAGGTGGCGGGGATCCTCCCTGCTGTAGGCCTCGGGGTCCCGCAGCACGCGCCTGCAGGGAAGACAGGGGCGACAGCTGCCCCTCCTTCGCCCCACCCAGGCTTGAGTCAACCGTCCAAGGTGCTAGGTGGGCCGACTCACCTTTGACCTGTGGAGGAGAACGAGGGTCCGATGCAGAGTAGGGCGGGGTGTCAGGGAGCTGCCGCTGCCTGGGGGTTAGAAACACTGCTTTTTGCTGTTTTGTCCTGTTTTATTCTCCAACGGAAGGCGACCCTCAGTGTGCAGTTCAGGGGTGGGGGGGCCTGAGCTCCTACAACTTAGGGTCCCAGCTCTTCTCTTCGCCTCTCCAGGCCTCTGCCCCCACCCCCTACACACACACACACACACACACACACGCATGCAGGCTTGCACACACACGCACACGCATGCACGCACACATACGCATGCACGCACAAGCAATGGCAATCATTAGCACACCCACTTGGCAGTATTGTGAGAATTGGGGAATTGGCCACCAAGCCTGGACTGCGATGCTCCGAACTCAGCGTTCATCAGAGTGTAAAGTTCTGTTCCCGAAGCAAGCTCTGGTCTTCCATCCCTGTAAGGGCCGGGCATCCCAAGCTTCGGAAGGCATTCAAGGGTTCCACAGAAGGAGTGAGATTCCAGTATAATGCAAAGGTGAAGAGTGTGTTCACCTTTCACCACTGGGGGATGTGGGGGAAGGAGGAAAATAAGCAGAGAGGGGGAGGGGGAGGGGGAGGGGAGAGCTGTGATGTCAGGCTACAGTGACACAAGTGTAAAGATGAAGTGACTCTGTGTGCCAATCTTTTGTTTTGTTTTGTTTTGTTTTTTGAGACAGGGTTTCTCTGTATTGCTTTTGAAGCCTGCCCTGGACCTTGCTCTGTAGACCAGGCTGGCCTCAAACTCACAGAAATCTGCCTGTCTCTGCCTCCCAGATGCTGGGATCAAAGGCGTGTACCACCAACACCCAGTTTGTATGCTAATCTTAAAAAAGAAAGTTTTAAATATAAAAGTTCTTCAAAAATTTTTATCCTCAAATTGGCTCTTTAAAATTTATTCTCCCTGTATTAGTAAGGAAGAGAGAACATTTATCTTTATCAGAGGCATAAGTACCGGAAGGCTTAGAGCCCCTGGACATAGGCCACAACAGACTGCATCAGTAACACAGTGGCAGATGACATGGGATGGTGGGCTGAATTAACAGAGAGCGCCTAGGCACCGGGAGCGGGGCATCAGGCCGTAACACGGAGAAATCCCATCAAGCACAGCTCCAAGTCAAAGCTAAGCCACTGAGCTTCCAACCCACAAGGGTGGATCTGGAAACAATTAGATGGAGGTGTGAGGAACAACTGGACCCTAGGCCAGCACCCCCACTCACCACTCCAAAGTTTAAAAAGTTGTTCCGGGGAGACTGTGGTCCAGGGAGAGCGGCACAATCAAGACTTCTGGGACCAACACGGGAGATGCACTGCAAACTAAACCTGAGGCTGGGATAGAGAGCTTGCTTAACATGTGGTCAGCACTGGGTTTACGCCCCTCCACAAGAAAAGGAAGTGTAAACATGGGACTGTGAGACCCTTCCTCGGCTCTGCTGTGTACGTACGCATCTAGGCAGGTTTAACACAAGGAAGAAACTGGAATATTGCTCCCAAGGAACCCTGAATGTGATTGTGCATAAGGAAGGGGATGAGGGAGGTCCTTATGTATATATGCTTCTCTTACTGGTTGATGAATAAAACACTGATTGGCCAATAGCCAGACAGGAAGTATAGGCAAGGCTGTGAGTCTAGGAGAATTCTGGGGAGAGGAGGCAGAGAGAGGCTGCCAGGAAGAGATGCCATGTAGAGACTGGGAAGATAGGATGCGCCAGGCATTCTCTGGTAAGATAAGGCCATGTAGAAATACAGATTAGTATTTATGGGTTAATAATTAAGAGAGAGCTAGCCAGAAAGAAGTGCTAGCCATCGGCCAACAGTTAATAATTAATATAAATCTTTGTGTGTCTATTTGGGGCTAATCAGCTACAGAACCAGGCTGGAAAGAAACTCCAGTTACAAGAAGGGGCCAAATCTTTTATTAATTTGTGATGAGAAAAATTTTATTTCTGTGTATATATGTATGAGTGCATGTATTTGTGAATATGTGTGTGTGTATGTGTGAGTGTATGTGTAGATGTATGATTGCACGTATGTATGTGTGTTTATGTGTGTGCATAGGCCAAAAGAAGGTGTCAGATCCCTTGGAGCTACAGTTACAGGTAGTTGTGAGTTGCCAGATGTAGATGCTAGGAATAGAACTTGTGCCCTCAGGTAGCCAGTGAGCCATCTCTCCTGCCCTCTCCCCATTTTAGTAATGTTAATTGGAAATCAGTAACTCTCCCTATCTGATCATTCTGCAGTGAAGTCCATCCTTTGATCATGACAGCTTGCACACAGAATTTACACAGAACAAAGAAACTGCACATACTGCCACAAAGCCTGTGACATTAAAGCCAGAGCAGCCAACCAAACAAGGACTTCAGGAGAGTCACCAACAGCTCTCCTGCCTCTGAAATGAATGAGAAGCTCCTGCCAGACCTGGTCCTCCAGCCAGTGGAGACTTTAAGTTGTAGGAGAACATAACTACCCAGAGATGCTGGAAAGTGGACAAAAGGCACTGGATTCTGGAGTGACAAGACTTAGAGGAAGATAATGGCAGGCAGTAACGTCAGCTTACAGCTCTTTGGTGACCAAAGTTGAAATACAGAGCAACTAAAACTCCACCACAAATCCAGTCTTTCAGGCCTGAAGCAGCTTGGAACAAACAAGGCTGCTAAAAACTTAATGGTGGGGGTGGGGGTGGGGATGGGGGGAGTCTTTGGAATAAGAGGAGGCACAGAGAGTCAGTGCATAATGGCCCAGGTCTCTTGTTGACCACAATGCTGTCGCTTCCTGTGGTAGGGAGCTGAAATGTGAACCAGTTCTCAAGAGAGTGTCTACAGTCATTGACTGAGCAGGGTGGCTGTCAAAACAAAAGTTATTCACTGTTAGAGCAATGTGTGAACCCCACACCCAGTGACTGCAATGTGAGTTGCTGTTTTCAACGGATGTTAAGTGTTCCATGTCTTCCTCCCAAAGTCAGCATAGCCACGCATCCATCTTAATACACCGTATGCCAGCCCGAGCTCAGTGCATTGTGCACGTTTAGAAAAATGTAACGGTTCTTTCCAGAGAACTTAAAGGAAGAATTCACGAGCACTACCTTCAACACAGGACAAATGGTTAAAAGCAAAGGCTGTGGCAATGCACACAGCTGTTTTGAGTTGACCTGGGGTGACAGAGCGGGACACCACATCCTCCTCTGGTCTATGCATGTGTGCACACAAAAATAAGTAAATCAGAATCTGTACAGGAAAATGCGTATGACAGTACTCGTAATATCAAGAAGTGTAACTAATGCAAACGTCTTTGAGTTTACGAGTGGCTAAACAATGGTGTAAACATTTAGGGATTAAAAGGAATGAGCTAATGCGCAAAGGCGTTCTAACCGGAAGACAACAGACTCAGAGGGTGTCATATGGATTCAGTTATTTGACATCCTGGAAAAACTGGATACAGAGACAGAAATCAGTAGTTACCAGGGACTAGGGGACCTGTTCTGTATCATGGTCACATCCGCCCATGGCTCCACCCCCCAATGGGCGTGGTCAGTGCCACAGAATGACTATCTCACTACAGTTCTTTATTATAACTATAGTAGTAGTCTATATCTGAGAGTATCAATACTCAAAACTATATCCAAAGAGTTCAAGGTCTGAAGAGAGGGCTCAGTGGTAAAGAGCACTTACTGCTCCTCCAGAATTCAGTCATGAACACAAAAACAAAAGCAAAGAAATCTGGAATAGCTACATCAATGTCAGAAAAACAAGCAAACAACATGGATATAAATTTCTTTCAAAAGTTAAGAAAATTCATAAGCAATCTGCCACACTGATCAAGGAAAAGACATTACTGACTCCAAGGGCAAAAGGAAAATCTATTACAGACCCTACAGACATTAGGATTTAACAGGGAGGGGCTGGAGATATGGCTGGGCAGTTAAGAGCACTGCCTGCTTTTGCAGAGCTGACCTAGGTTTGGTTCCCAGTTCCCACATGGTGGCTCATAGCCATCTGTAACTCCAGTTACATAGGATTTGCTGCTCTCCTGACCTCTGCAGGTTGTGGTGACATTTTGCTTATGACCTAATAAAGCTAGCCTGAAAAGCAGAAAAGCAAAGCAGCCAGCCACTAGAGAGTTCTCACCTCTACCAATGCTCAGACAGCAGGGGCGACCTACTGAACCTCAGCCTGCAACTCCAGACTGCACTGCCCCCCACCAAGCCTCAGGATGCCAGACTGCCCTCTGAGGCTGCACTGAGCTCCTTATATACTCTAGAATAGTCTATTATTCTCACTACGGCAAGTACTAGGCGTGCACATGGTGCACATACATATACACAGACAAACACTCATGGACATAAAAATAAGTACAGTATACAATAGAGGGAATATAGATAACTTACGATATTGATCCTAACAACCCAGATAAAATTAACAAATTCACTGAAAGCTACAAATAGCTTAAGCTGGTATTTAACCATCAAGAACCTGAATTTTCTCCCTATCTATTAGAGATACTGAACTTGTCACAAAAGAAGGGATTTGGAAAAGCAAGAATAACTTCCATGAAGAAAAACAGGAGGCCCAGATGGCCAGATGGCTTCACTGGTGAAATCTGCCCAAGTTCCATAGGAGAAATAGGATTAATTCTACTCAAGTTCTTATTTAAAACAAACAAGCAAGCAAAGGCAGCATTCTCCAAATCATTCAATTCCATCACAGTTTCAAAAACATCAAGTAGAGAGGGTTGCCTTCGTTACTTACAGGGCTCCTAAATCGAAGTCATTGCCCAGGAATTCTTCAAGCAGACTCGTATCCAGGGCTGGATTCTCCAAAGTGCCACTGGCTCCATGAGCTGCAAAGGAAATTGAAGATCTTAAGAACCATGACCATTTCAGGACTGCTAAGACCTTGACGGGCAGATACCCAGACTTACAAGGCAACCAAATAACACAGTGTGTTTGCTGGGGATGTAATCTTTTTTCCATTTAAATGTGTCCTTCAGAGATCGCTTCAGATCACCCTTTCCATCGAGACTTCCTGGCTGTGTGAGGATGGGGTAGTGCTCTTTTATAAAACCCTGTGACACTGACCACTTACTTTGTACACAGTTGAAAAGCCTCTCTCCCTCCCTCATTTCTAGGACTTGAAAGAATTCTTTAAAACTGGTATTTCTAACAGCATTTTAAAAAATTGTTTTAAACTCTGCAGCCGCTCTTGTTCCCACCAAGTTATTTTTGTTGTATTAACTTCAAATAAAATTAATATAGTATATGTAATATTTACTAGCCAAATACTGCATAGCACACCTGTTAGCCCCTGTTAGGATGCAGAGTCGATGTGTTTGAGGCTAGCCTGGGCTACAGAGTGAAATGTACCTTATTAAAAAAATATTGATGTCATTAAAAATGTATTCTATCTATTCGTTTCTCCGTGTCTTTATAGATATTCAGTTGGGACTCGGCAGATAAAGGTGCTTGCCACCAAGAATGATGACTAGAGTTTAATCCCCAGAAAATACACAGTTCGAAGGGAGAAGTAACTCCTTCTTGCAAGCTGTCCTCTGATCTCCACCTGCATTCTGTGATGTGTGTGTGTGCACGCGCGCGCACGCGCACACACACACACACACACACACACACACACAAAGAGAAATAGGAGCCTTCCCGGTGTCTTGCTAAGCTCGGGTAGGCATGATTACAACAGTGTAGAGAAGCAGTAAGGATACAGTCTGTCCGTGATGGAGGTATAGCAGGGCAGCGTGACAAGCTGCCTTAGACGACATCGTTCTGCTTTGGAATCCTCTCTGAGGCAGAAGCCAGCTAAGCAAGCATCGAGTGTGCTGGGCAGAGGGGGTGTGAAGAGCTAGAGCAAGGGGCTGTGCAAGGGGAGGGAAGCAAACAGAAACACAGAGCAGAGCACAGAAACGGAGGAGCAGCAGGATCAAGTCAACGGAAGCCTTTGGAAAGGTGCGTGATGTGTGTCACACGCATTCTCAAAGGTCCTTCTGGTTGCTTTATGCAAAGGGATTTTAAGGGAACAAGAACAGTAGGGAGATTCACGTGAATGCTGCTGCAGCTTCCAGAGATAATCAGAATTGAAACCTTTGACTCTGTGCTTGGCTACATGTCATACTTTACCTTCCTTGTGTCAATGAATCTTTATTGCAGTCCTAGGCTGTGGCTGTCAGTGCTACCCAGCTTGCAAGGGTCGGTATTGCTGGCAGAGGCAGGAGCCTGTGCTTTGAGAGGTGGGGATAATAGGGGGTGGTGAGAACATGCTCAAGAGTCAAGCCAGAAGACTCGGGAAGTAGCTCCATTGGTAGAGTGCTGATCTAGCATGATCAAAACCCTGGGTTTGCTCCCCACGGCTGTTTTGACCAGACTTGTTGGCCCATGCTTATGGTCCTAATGTTTGGGAAGCCGAGACAGAATGGAACATAAGTTTAAAGCCATTCTAGGCTGCAAAGTGAGTCTGAGGCCAGGTTGGGCTATGGGAAACGTGGAGGCCTGGGCTGGTTCCCTCTTGTCACGCACACACTGAACGACTCTGGGCAAGTGGGCTCCGCTGCCTCTGACAGCAGTGCCAGCCAACCACCGTGGGGACTTGCTGCTGCTACTGCTTCGCTGGGCTTTGGACAAGCCGAGCGCTAAGCAGATGGAAGGAGGAATCTGTTTGGTTTCGCATGGAAGCGCCTGCTGGCGTCCCATCTGCTTTATAGGACACCCGTCCCCAACACAGACACACAGACACATGCAGAGACAGGCAGACACACACACACCAATCACACACACAGACACACACTCACACACACCAATCACATACAGACACACACACATACACACACACCACTCACATACAGACACATACACACACTCACACACACACACCACTCACATACAGACACACATACACACACATTCACACACCATTCACATACAGACACACACACTCACACTCACACATTACTCACATACAGACACATACAGATACACACATTCACACACACACAGACACTCACACACACCACTCACACACACTCACACACCACTCACATACAGACACACATACACACACACTCACACACACACCACTCACAGAGACACACATACACACACATTCACACACCATTCACATAAAGACACACACACACTCACACTCACACATTACTCACATACAGACACATATACACACACATTCACACACACACTCACACACCATTCACATACAGATACACACATTCACACACACAGACACTCACACACCACTCACATACAGACACACATACACACACACACACACCACTCGCTCACACACACACACACACACGAGCGCATGCACACACACACACAAACATACACACACTCACAATTCTGGAGGTGGAAATAGTCTATTCCCGAAGGTTTGACCAGTAACCCACTTGCTCTTTACTGGCCTGCCCCCTTCCCAGTTGGACATGGGAGATCGGCCCCGCCTGCCATGGCTTATCCAAATGCCATAATGCACACAGAGAGATGATCCCTGCTGTAGCTAGCTTTCTCTAGGGCTCGGGATCACATCTGTGCTTTCCAGACCCAGAGGGAATACCTCAACAAGATAAATTCATAGTGTCAGATAAAACTGTTTCAGGAGGTTTTGCACACAGAGAGCAACTCTCAGATGGCTCTTAAAATAAATCTTGTGCTCTTAAAAGCAATCACTTAGCTCTAAATGTCTTAAACACTTGCTCAGAACTCCCAGCTTGCACAGCCCTCCTCCCTCCGGGCGGCTCATTTGCATCCCTAGTGTCCACCTGCTCCTTCTGGTCCTGCTTGGCCGCCAAGAGCTCTGCTAAGGTCCTGCTCAGAGAAGGAAACTCAGCTTTAGCCCCTGGGAGAGCCAGGGACATTGTATCTCCATGGGGTGTGCAAATGAGTTCCAACTATCAGAGGCAGGAAGCAGGTAAACAATAAGAGCCACACCCTCCACGGAGCTCGTCACCAGCTTTGCACGCCTGTATTTTAACAGGTGGCAATTATGTGCTGTGTGTCTGTTCCCTCTACTCCAAGCTCCTCCAGACCATGAACAGCCTCTTACTATAGAGTCCCTAAGCATCTAGAGCAGTGGTTCTCAACCTGTGGGTCGTGACCCCTCTGGGGGGGTCGCATATCAGATACTTACATTGCAATTCGTAACAGTAGCAAGATTATGATCATGAGGTAGCAACAAAAATAATTGTGAGGCTGGGTTCACCACGGCATGAGGGACTGTACTAAAGGGCTACAGCATGAGGGACTGTACTAAAGGGCCATGGCATGAGGAACTGTACTAAAGGGCCATGGCATGAGGAACTGTACTAAAGGGCCACGCATTAGGAAGGTTGGGAACCACCCACCCTGAACATGACCTGTGATATGGCAGCTATTCAATAAATATTACGTTTGTCTCACGAACAAAGACTTGGATGTTAGTTATAATTACTGTTAGTGCAAATGTTAGTGCTCCCTTAGTTGGCTCCCGCAATGAGCCAGCTGCCTCTGGTTCCTGACACTGAGGCCATGAGCCACTGGTACCCTTCCCCACCATGATGGGCCATGTCCCCTGGATCAAAGCTGCGTGAGCCCTACGTGTAACCACGGTGACATAGAAGTAGCAGATGCCATCATATGTGGCAAAGTTTAAGTAGAGAGACAGACAAAATTCTAAGTGGAGAAGTGACATGATCGGTTGTGTAATTTTGAAAGGCCCTTCAGCCTACCGCAGGGAGACTGCCTGACTCAGTCTCCTTTCTGTAAAGCAACAGGCCTACTTCCTAGAGCTGTGAGAGTCAAATGAGTTAATGCACACGATCTGCTTAGTCTGGGCTACCTTGTGTGGTTGCCATCAGTTCCTCTGCTGGAGAAGCCAACAGGCCAGTGAGAAAAAACAAACAAACAAAGACAGAAAGACGCATGGCAGCAACTGCAACACCCAGAACGTGGCCTGGTAGTCGTTATTCAATGACTATTAAGACTGCCTCAAGGCATTATGGGATACCGAACTGACTCGGCAGGGTGAAATGGCGTCAGGAAAAGCTTTGGGAACAGTGGTCAATGAGGGCTGCAACTGTCAGCCAAAGCAGATTCCGGGCTGCTGGGTGTCGTGAGACTCTGGTCTGCTTCAGTGCTAACATGGTTCAGAAATCAGGAGAACGGCAACAGGGCGGAGAAGCCAACTAGTGTACACTTTTGTCTCTTATCCCAAGGTCACAGTTAGTCACTCTGAGTTACTGGCTTAAAATTGACCATAGTAACAATGTCTACACCATCAAAATGCTACAGATCAGGGCAGACCTCTCTTTCCTCGCAGGGACTTAGCTATTAAATATTTGTCCACACATCATCATACATAGATATTTGTCCACACATCACCACATGTAAATTTTTGTCCACACATCATCTTATGTAAGTGGTCCTTAGAAGGATAAACTACTGCATTTTGTGACTGGTTGGAAAGAGGGTAGCTGAATCCTCAGCCCTACCTAGTCACGCTGATACCTTGAGACTGAAGTGAGATCAGGGTGAAGTCAGGGAAATAAGTTCAAGGCTCAAGGAAGTGTCCCGCTGGCCGGCTCCCACATTCTTGGTGACTCAGGTTTGTGGGTGAAGTGTCTCCCACAGGCCTGAGTTTGGATGCTCGGTTCCAAACTCGTGGTATTGGTTGGGGAGGTTGTAGAGCCTTGTGAAGTAAGACCCAGCTGGTAGACACAAGCCACTAGGAGAAGACGCCACAATGCCAGCTGTTACTGCCATGCAGGGGTGTGCTCCCTGGATACTGAGAGTCACAACAGACCTCTCCCTCTTTATGTGGCTCCTGCCAGGTACTCCGCCATCGGGA